AGGGACACCATATCCCTCCAGGGGGACAAAAAAAGTAATAAAAAATACTTTACAATGCATTGATGTTGTCCTGATTCATTGTATTGTTTTGAATGCTTATTTTTTTTTCTGATTACTTTGTTATGTTACGCATTTACATTAATTGAATTACTTTTGAGCTATAGCTCTTTTTCGGTTTTATATACTTGGCAATCACTTTGCAGGGGATGTCCAGGTGGTTCGCGTTCTAGTGAAATGGTCTTTCTTCCTTGAAAGAGTTTGAATGAATGAATAGTGTTTATTTCCTCAATTATGGATCATTTTCGTGTAACAAAACCCTAGAAGACGTTTTGCAGTTAGAAGACTCGCTTTCATAGGAGCTTGTAAATTATTGGGTGAAGTGACATGTTGTTGTCCATCGTAAATGGAAAGTTCAATGGACATAATGTATGAATATCGAAACAGCAACATTTAATAAACTTTCAAGCTAACGTGGACCAGCGGCAGACAAGCTGAGGAATCAACATTTAGCTGTGTTTACATTTTATCATTGATACAATATTAATTGTTTAGTCTGGTTCAGTCCCCAGACCTGTGAATAAGTTTATTATTATAGGTCTGGATTAGTTCTGAGCAGTGTTCGGAGCATGGCCTAAAATGTTTTTGTAGTATTCTGTTACTTTGGGTAAAATGGTATTGTCTTCTAAACTTTGAATAAAGGTATTGGATATTGCCTTTAGTGACTTTCTTCATCAATTAATAAATATCGCCTCTTGGAATTATAAACTAACCTGCTATATTCCGTATGTCCGTAATTTACTTGGGTTTTTTGTCCTGGATTAGACCAAGCATGAGTAAGATTTAATCCTAGTTTAGTCCTGGTCAGAAAATTACGCATAACCTGAGCATTTGCTGTAGCTGGCGTTCCTAGTTCGACATTTAGATGTATGTTTACATACATGTAGATAAATAATTTTATCATTTTCTTAGAGATCCGCTTTGTGTGAACATGGCTTGCTTAGACTCTTGCTTTGAAAAATATGAGACGCTGCACATTTCGAGTTCATGTACATCAAATCGATAAACCATTTACAGATACAATATTGACATCATTCAAACTCGAAAAGGAGTGGGAGGAAGAAAAAAATCTTATAAGTTCCCACCCCTGTGCACATCACACTTACCCCTGTGTGTCCGGAGCCAGTAGCAAAGTCATGCATAACAACACGGCAACAAGCAGCACAGTGACCCCAGCCAATCCCGTCACAGCAGGCACCAGAGCAGCAACAACCAGCAACGCACCAAGGCATCGAGCCAGAACTGCACACACCCTCTCCCACCGGTCTCAGGCCACGTTCAGCCGACTTCATTTGTTTATTTATTTATTTATATTCCTCTTTTTGTTATTATTATTATTATTATTATTATTATTATTATTATTATCATTATTTTAATTATTATAATCATTATTACTATTATTTCATTTTTCCCTTTTACCAGACAATGGAGTATTTTCACTTGGTCAAATTGATAGCATTAGTGTTTATATTCAAACTACTAACATATACAAATCATATCCATTCGTGGCAGTGTGTAGTGGGAGAAGACAGTGACACCTGCATGTAAGCCCTACCACATCACCAGGCCGTCACCACGCCAGTGCCCCTCCGCATCCTGGACCAGCAAGAGCCACCACACCTCCGTCACCATGCCGTCATCGCACACCACTATGCCACCAGCTCCTTCAGTGAACCTTCACAACACCATTTCATAGTTATTTTCAGAAAAAAGACATTTAAGATACAATATACATATTCCTATATAGATATATATACTCACATATACCATATGCTCGCAGACATACCTAAACATTACATACATACCTATATATACACAGTGCATATACACAGTACATGAGGCATGTATACACATATGTTCTATAAATACATATTACAAATACACATACTACAAATACACCCAAATACACACAAATGAAGATAGCACCTTCATATATAGTGTTAGATTTCCTAATGAATGATCAAATAAGTTACTTTTTCTTTTGGATCCTCTCACTATACACCTTTTACACCTCCTCATTTTCATACTTAGATATCAAACATTCTTTGTATTTCTTTTTAAACATGTACATAGTTCTGCATTCTTTTACATGATTTTCCAGGCTGTTCCAGAGTTTGACTCCGCACACTGACACGCACCAACTTTTCCTCGTAGATCCCACCAGCGGGACTTTGAATTTACCACCTCTCCTTAGATTATACTTTCCTTCATTCTCACAAAAAAGTTTCTGTATATTGCCTGGTAACATATTATTATTTGCTTTATATAACAGAAGAGCTGTATGTAGTGTCACCAAATCGGGGAGTTTCAGAATTCCAGATTTTAAAAATAGAAAGTTTGTGTGGTCAAAATATCCGACTTTGTGTATAGTTCTTACCGCACGCTTCTGTAATATAAAGAGGGAATACAAAGAACTTTTATAGTTATTGCCCCATATTTCTATACAATACGTTAAGAAAGGTAGTATTAGTGAGTGGTACAGTAAGCGGAGAGCATCAAAATCCAGAACATGTTTTACTTTGTTAATAACTGCAACACTTTTTGCTACTTTTGACTGTGTTAGTCTTATGTGTGGTTTCCATGACAGCTTGTCGTCTATTGTCACCCCTAAAAATGTATATTCAGATACTGTTTCAATGTGTACTCCATCAATGTTTAGCCGTATTTCAGGTCTTTGTTTATCTACTTTACGATTTCCAAATCGCTATATGGCTTTAGTTTTTTTTAGATTTAAAGAGAGTTTGTTCTTATCCATCCAATGTTTCACTTTTTCTAGCTCTTCATTAATAGTCCGAATTAGTTCGCCATAGTTCTCATGTGAATAAAACATGTTTGTATCATCTGCAAAAAGAATCATTTTCAACAATTTTGAATTCCTAAATATATCATTTATATACAAGTTAAATAATTTTGGACCCAAAATTGAACCTTGAGGCACTCCACAAGAAATTTCCAAACAGCTCGATGTTATATAAAGTCACCTCCGTGAACACATACTGCTGTTATATAAAGTCACCTTCGTGAACACATACTGCTGTTATATAAAGTCTCCTCCGTGAACACATACTGCTGTTATATAAAGTCACCTCCGTGAACACATACTGCTGTTATATAAAGTCACCTCTGTGAACACATACTGCTGTTATATAAAGTCACCTCTGTGAACACATACTGCTGTTATATAAAGTCACCTCTGTGAACACATACTGCTGTTATATAAAGTCACCTCTGTGAACACATACTACTGTTATATAAAGTCACCTCTGTGAACACATACTACTGTTATATAAAGTCACCTCCGTGAACACATACTGCTGTTATATAAAGTCACCTCCGTGAACACATACTACTGTTATATACTGCTCAGTTTAAGAATGCTCTTGTACAAAATCTCCAAAATCAGTGTCATTGTTTCTGATTTTGGGTTACTAATCCTATGTTTACTGCCTTTAATATTAATAAGTTTAGTATTTTCACTATTTATTGTCTGCATCAAATATATTTACAACAGTCATGGTGTGTGTGAGTGTGTGTGTGTGAGTATTGTTTATTGTTGCTTTTTGTCCTTTGTCTTTATTGTTTACTTTTTTGTATTGCATTGTATCTGTCACCTCTGTTACTTTTTGAGGACCCCCTCGAAAACGAGATGTTTCATCTCTAGGGGCTTATCCTCCAAATAAATAAATAAATAAATATAAAGTCACCTCTGTGAACACATACTGCTGTTATATAAAGTCACCTCCGTGAACACATACTGCTGTTATATAAAGTCACCGTGAACACATACTACTGTTATATAAAGTCACCTCCCTGAACACATACTGCTGTTATATAAAGTCACCTTCGTGAACACATACTGCTGTTATATAAAGTCACCTCCGTGAACACATACTGCTGTTATATAAAGTCACCTCCGTGAACACATACTGCTGTTATATAAAGTCACCTCCGTGAACACATACTGCTGTTATATAAAGTCACTGTGAACACATACTGCTGTTATATAAAGTCACCTCCGTGAACACATACTGCTGTTATATAAAGTCACCTCCGTGAACACATACTGCTGTTATATAAAGTCACCTCCGTGAACACATACTGCTGTTATATAAAGTCACCTCCGTGAACACATACTGCTGTTATATAAAGTCTGTGGAAGGTCTCTGACACAGAGATGCTGCAGAGCTGCATTATTGGAGACAAACTTAAAGCTGCACTAACTGACTTTATTTTTGTATTCATTACGAAAATGCTATCCATGTCCGTGTAGGGCATTGGGATATACGTCCTTTTGACGAAAAAGTAGCGCAAATTTGTGCTGGCGTAACATTATATTTTAGATCGAGTTTTGATGAAACAAGGAAGAGAATGTGTTTCGGGTCGCAGATTGTGACCAATCACCGCGGACCACTGGCCCCCACTTTCGTGAGAAATCTACAGGTCCGTTAGCATAGACAGCTGAGTTAGCACAACAAGACGAGGAGCTAACCTGAAGCTTCGTCTCTTCGTCACCGGTTACTGCTTACACAGCGAGACAGCCATCCAAAAGAAAGTCTCGTTCCTCCGCGCTTCCCGGTTCTATCGTTCTATGGTCACGCCGTCCACGTGCAAATCCATGTCCATGTATTATCCATATTGGGAGACGCTAGCTTCGTCCCAACAGTGAGTGTGTGTGTGTGGGGGCGATAGCTTTGTGGGTGCGGGGAGGGGAGCAGAAAGAGAGAGGCCAGCGAGTCCGCGGCTTCAAAATCCCAAAGTCAGTTAGTGCAGCTTTAACACAAAAACCCGCTAGCATAACTCCGTTAGCATCAAAGTCCGCCTGCTACTTCCGCCACTTCCGGCGCTGGCCAGGACGTTCTGGTGTGAGGACCCGTGCGTCTGAAAACTAGAGAATGTGCGTTCCAGCGTTGGCGGTCTGAAAGCACCATTATGGGGTCTTTCGCATGGTGTCGATCATGTATCTGTGTCAGGGTGTCTCTCTCATGGTGTCTCTCTCATGGTGTCTCTCTCCCGGTGTCTCTCTCCTGGTGGCTCTCTCCCGTTGTCTCTCTCCCCGTGTCTCTCTCCTGGTGTCTCTCTCCTGGTGTCTCTCTCCTGGTGTCTCTCTCCTGGTGTTTCTCCCTGGTGTCTCTCTCCTGGTGTCTCTCTCCTGGTGTCTCTCACATGGTGTCTCACCTGGTGTCCTTCCCAGGCCTGTGCTCCCAGGTATCACTGGAGAACAGAACATGACGTCCCGTTTGCAGACGTTACGGGGACCTGCTTCCTGTCAGTGGGCGGGGCCTCAGTGGAGTACGCCCCCTGCAGAACAGGTATTTATGGACTTCACAAAACTGTCGATTCTGAAACACAGATCAGAAAATCAATCACTTTAAACACAGGAAACCATAACAAACCATAACAAAAACACATCATTGGACCATAAGAGACAAAGACCAATCTGAATGCTTTATTAGCATTTACAAAAGATAGTATTCAACTTGCTGCTGTTCCTTAGCCTGGCTCTACCCTTGTAGTTCCGCCATGCTCCACCAGAGGCGTTTGGCTGAACCACATGGGTCTGGGATCCACGCCATACCAAACTCCTTCTGCTGATCAGATAATAATCAACCAATCAGGATCGCCGGTGAAACGTGGGGTTTGCACTGCCTTCTCAAGCTTGTCTCATGCAGCAGCGAAAGGAATCCAAGATGGCGGACATAAAGTCTGCGAATCTTTTTAAACATTTAAATATGAACGTATTAAGACACGGATGTCACTTTTAATGCAGCATGTGGCGAGATGTTGAGGCAAGATGTAGATGGTTCTATGTTGATGTGTGTGTTTCAAAAAGTTCCTATAAAGTTTTGTTTAAGCACTGGGTTAGGTGTTTCTGTTTACAACACTACGCAGCAGGGTTGCCAGGTTGGGTGGTTTCCCGAATATTTTTTTCCAAGAAACTTGTAGGTAATAAATATATAGAAAGACAACAAACAGAATCATGATAGCCCAAGTTGATTACAGTACGTTTTTAGCCAAAGAATAATTCTGAGTGGGTTTTTTTTGGGAATTCTCGCGGACTTTGGACTGGAAAATCTTGCCGGCATTTGGCAACCTATGGGAGACGTGTGCTTCGATGTGAGTGGTTGAAAGCAGACTTCATTCAAGAAAACGCACAAGTGGTTTATCCAATCACATACAATGATTTTTTTTTAGAAGACCCGCCTTCTGAAATCCAACGCCTATCGTGGAGTCCCAGACACTTGTGAGAAGCGCACCTTACACAAGGGTCTGGCAAAAATCAGGCTAGCTGTTTCTAGCTCAAAGTAAATAATTAGCGGCAGCCTCTGAACCATCCATACCCTCCCTGTCACCCCGACATTGAATAAAGGTTTATCTTATCTCACCTCTCTGGACACTCAACAAAAAAGTGAATCAATGAAACTGTAGCTTTTCCCGTTCAGCACATGAATGATGAATTGTACATTACCACTGCTTTGCAGAAAGACACGGACCTGCTGGACAGGGCTATTGTCAGGGGGGCTTTAGTGCAGACTTCACCAAGGTAAGACTTTCTAAAGGTCAATATTTAATGTGGAGGAGGCCGAGCTGCAGACCCAGGCCTCATCTGTGGCTCCTGTGTTTCAGAACGGGAGGGTTGTACTTGGAGGACCAGGCAGCTTTTACTGGCAAGGTGAGCGCCAAGGAATGTCCAGGCGTGAGAGTCTCTATAGTCCAGAATAGAGTCTGTGGCGTTACTACAAGACCACAGTCTCTATCTGTCTCTATCTCCAACCTCTGAGTGTTACCTTTATGTGGGTCAATGACAGATAAGGTTTTTAAAAATACAATGGATATGAGTTTATACTGCAGTTGGTCAAATCTTTACAATGTCACGTGTAAATGCATACATGTTACTATCATGAACTTTAATATTTTTGGGTTTTTCATGTGCATTAATCAGCCTTAAAAATGTCATGTGGTGCGACCGTCAATCTCCGTAAAATGTTCTTATTGACTCAGCAAATCTTAACCTTTTTCCACAAGTTCTTAGTGATAAATGTGTCTAGAAACTAATCGTTTAGGTTTCTGTGGAATTACATGGAATGAACCTATTTGCATGAAGTTTTCACGCTTATGTCTCCTGTAAATTGCATAAAAATTACACAAATTCAAACAAAATACTTCATTAACCCCATCAGTGCTCAAGTGTGACAGAACGCATTATCATTTTTCATTTTTCTACAGATTTTCCCTATTTATGGTCGCATCACATACACACTTAAAAAAGTGATGAAATGTGAGGTAAAAATGCTTAAATTGAATGTTTTGTATCTTAATCTGAGCACATTCTGACTCCATGTGGCGCAGAACTAAATAACGTCTTGTTATGATTCTCAAATCATTAACGACAAAACAAGGAATAAAACCAGGATTTCTATCTTTGTGAAAAAGGTGTTGGTTATAGATTTGTTGTTGACAAAACTCTTGTCTATTCAGCTGTTATGGTCCCAGCTGGATTCGTCTGCATATCTGGCAACCTGAGTCAGGGACAGTGGGAGAGGCTGCAGTACCACTTTTGTCCACACTTTTACATTCTGCTCCTTTAAAGGCACACCGTGTAACTCTTGGCCACTAGGGGCGCTAGACCTGCAACTTTCACGTTTAGCGCCCCTAGTGGCCACAAGCAACTCAGCACTGTCGCAAAAGTCAACAAACAGTCAGCCGGTGTCTTTTGAGTGTGTATTCAGACAGCATGCACTGGTGTGTGTGTTCAAACTGTAGAGACATGCCTACAGATATTGAGAGACTCTGCTGTGGTCAGCCTCCAGACGACTGCATTAGTAATCTACCACACATGGACTTCTATATCCTGGATGAGGGAGTTCTGCGTCTAGCTCGTGCTGCGTGGAATGACATCTTTGCAGTCGATGACATCCAGGAACCAGGTGAAGAGCAGCGCTCATACAGACATGCAGCTTACAGCACGATCCCTTTCGCGTTTCCTCTTTTTAGCCTCCTCCGAAGGTTTAAAATTTTTCCTTGCCTCAGCCATGACCAGGAGTCGAGCAGGTGAAAAATGAGTAGCAAAAGCCTTAGCTCCATGAGTATATCAGCGCCTGTAGCCGTAAAGCATATCTTTCTTCCAAGTCACGTGACCTGGTGGCAGACGGTCCGTCTGCTCGAAACTTACATGGGCGGTATTTCAAGAGGGCAGCCCCGCTCGGAGCATTGCAAGTGTCAAGCGCTGTATATTGGCCCAAGTATTCATATAAAATAACTCATATGTGTCAACTCTTTAGGTCACAAAGTCCGCGGTGTGCCTTTAAGGCTCAGTCAGAATGTGCTCAAACCAAGACACATTTGGCCAAATTGTATCATTTTTTTTACCTATTTTACGTGACTTTTTGCAGTGTGAGTGTGACTTGTCTGTATCTGTCTGACCTCGCCGTGCCTCTGTAGGTCAGCTGATCTCTGCCACCACTGAAGAGATAGTGAAGGCCTATTACCCCGCTTACTTCCTGCTGTTTGTGGACGGCCAGAAGCAAACGGCACAAGTTCAGAGCAGCTACGACGACAGTTATCTAGGTGAGAAGGTGACGGACCGAACTGTGATAATCCACTCAGTGCTAATCAATGGGAGCTGGTGTTCTGTGTCTGACCCTGTGTCTGACCCTGTGTATGACCCTGTGTCTGACCCTGTGTATGACCCTGTGTATGACCCTGTGTCTGACCCTGTGTATGACCCTGTGTCTGACCCTGTGTATGACCCTGTGTATGACCCTGTGTCTGACCCTGTGTATGACCCTGTGTCTGACCCTGTGTATGACCCTGTGTCTGATCCTCTGTCTGACCCTGTGTCTGATCCTATGTATGACCCTGTGTCTGACCCTGTGTATGACCCTGTGTATGATCCTGTGTATGACCCTGTGCGTGACCCTGTGTCTGACCCTGTGTATGACCCTGTGTATGACCCTGTGTCTGATCCTGTGTATGACCCTGTGTATGACCCTGTGTCTGACCCTGTGTCTGATCCTGTGTATGATCCTGTGTATGACCCTGTGCGTGACCCTGTGTATGACCCTGTGTCTGACCCTGTGTATGACCCTGTGTATGACCCTGTGTCTGACCCTGTGTCTGATCCTGTGTATGACCCTGTGTCTGATCCTGTGTCTGACCCTGTGTATGACCCTGTGCGTGACCCTGTGTATGACCCTGTGTCTGATCCTGTGTATGACCCTGTGTATGACCCTGTGTCTGACCCTGTGTATGACCCTGTGTCTGACCCTGTGTATGACCCTGTGTCTGATCCTCTGTCTGACCCTGTGTCTGATCCTATGTATGACCCTGTGTCTGACCCTGTGTATGACCCTGTGTATGATCCTGTGTATGACCCTGTGCGTGACCCTGTGTCTGACCCTGTGTATGACCCTGTGTATGACCCTGTGTCTGATCCTGTGTATGACCCTGTGTATGACCCTGTGTCTGACCCTGTGTCTGATCCTGTGTATGATCCTGTGTATGACCCTGTGCGTGACCCTGTGTATGACCCTGTGTCTGACCCTGTGTATGACCCTGTGTATGACCCTGTGCGTGACCCTGTGTCTGACCCTGTGTATGACCCTGTGTATGACCCTGTGTCTGATCCTGTGTATGACCCTGTGTATGACCCTGTGTCTGACCCTGTGTCTGATCCTGTGTATGACCCTGTGTCTGATCCTGTGTATGACCCTGTGTCTGATCCTGTGTCTGACCCTGTGTATGACCCTGTGCGTGACCCTGTGTATGACCCTGTGTCTGATCCTGTGTATGATCCTGTGTATGACCCTGTGTCTGACCCTGTGTATGACCCTGTGTCTGACCCTGTGTATGACCCTGTGTCTGATCCTCTGTCTGACCCTGTGTCTGATCCTATGTATGACCCTGTGTCTGACCCTGTGTATGACCCTGTGTATGATCCTGTGTATGACCCTGTGCGTGACCCTGTGTCTGACCCTGTGTATGACCCTGTGTATGACCCTGTGTCTGATCCTGTGTATGACCCTGTGTATGACCCTGTGTCTGACCCTGTGTCTGATCCTGTGTATGATCCTGTGTATGACCCTGTGCGTGACCCTGTGTATGACCCTGTGTCTGACCCTGTGTATGACCCTGTGTATGACCCTGTGTCTGACCCTGTGTCTGATCCTGTGTATGACCCTGTGTCTGATCCTGTGTCTGACCCTGTGTATGACCCTGTGCGTGACCCTGTGTATGACCCTGTGTCTGATCCTGTGTATGACCCTGTGTATGACCCTGTGTCTGACCCTGTGTATGACCCTGTGTCTGACCCTGTGTATGACCCTGTGTCTGATCCTGTGTATGACCCTGTGTCTGATCCTGTGTCTGACCCTGTGTATGACCCTGTGTCTGATCCTGTGTATGACCCTGTGTCTGATCCTGTGTCTGACCCTGTGTCTGATCCTGTGTCTGACCCTGTGTCTGATCCTCTGTCTGACCCTGTGTCTGATCCTATGTATGACCCTGTGTCTGACCCTGTGTCTGACCCTGTGTATGATCCTGTGTATGACCCTGTGTATGACCCTGTGTCTGACCCTGTGTATGACCCTGTGTATGACCCTGTGTCTGACCCTGTGTCTGATCCTGTGTATGACCCTGTGTCTGATCCTGTGTGTGACCCTGTGTATGACCCTGTGTATGACCCTGTGTCTGACCTTGTGTATGACCCTGTGTATGACCTTGTGTATGACCCTGTGTATGACCCTGTGTCTGACCTTGTGTATGACCCTGTGTATGACCCTGTGTCTGACCCTGTGTATGACCCTGTGTCTGATTCTGTGTATGACCCTGTGCGTGACCCTGTGCGTGACCCTGTGCATGACTCTGTGTCTGACCCTGTGTCTGACCCTGTGTATGACCCTGTGTCTGATCCTGTGTATGACCCTGTGTCTGATCCTGTGTCTGATCCTGTGTATGACCCTGTGTATGACCCTGTGTCTGATCCTGTGTCTGACCCTGTGTATGACCCTGTGTATGACCCTGTGTCTGACCCTGTGTCTGACCCTGTGTATGACCCTGTGTCTGACCCTGTGTATGACCCTGTGTCTGACCCTGTGTATGACCCTGTGTCTGATCCTGTGTCTGACCCTGTGTATGATCCTGTGTATGATCCTGTGTTCTGCAGGGTACTCAGTGACCACAGGGGAGTTCAGCGGAGACCAGGAAGAAGGTGATGTCTATTATTTGTTAGAGCCGTGATCGCTTCTCGTGGGTTTTAGTTAAAGATGCAGTCAGTAAAAGGTAGACAGTTATCATGTGTTTTCAAATAGTAATGGAGTTGACCAGATGTCTAAAGTCGGCAAAAATTCATCCAAAAAACTTTGGAGCGGACCGATAAAAATAAACCAATGGGATGTGTTTATCCCCTTCACCCTCTTCCTGTTTCTCAGAGTGCACCGGAGTTATCGGATTATTTTCTAAAACCTAAAATGACTGAACAGAAAATGCCAATTTCACGTTTGCTTCACTCTCCCTGTGACAAAGAAAAGAAAATGCTGGATGTTTGGTTTGGTGGAGAGGGAGGGGAGGGGGAGTGGTTTGGTGGAGAGGGAGGGGAGGGGGAGTGGTTTGGTGGAGAGGGAGGGGAGGGGGGAGTGGTTTGATGGAGAGGGAGGGGAGGGGGAGTGGTTTGATGGAGGGTGAGGGGGGAGTGGTTTGGTGGAGAGGGGAGGGGGGAGTGGTTTGGTGGAGAGGGAGGGGAGGGGGGAGTGGTTTTGATGGAGGGTGAGGGGGGAGTGGTTTGGTGGAGAGGGGAGGGGGGAGTGGTTTGATGGAGGGTGAGGGGAGGGGGGAGTGGTTTGATGGAGAGGGAGGGGAGGGGGGAGTGGTTTGATGGAGAGGGAGGGGAGGGGGGAGTGGTTTGATGGAGAGGGAGGGGAGGGGGGAGTGGTTTGGTGGAGAGGGAGGGGAGGGGGAGTGGTTTGGTGGAGAGGGAGGGGAGGGGGGAGTGGTTTGATGGAGGGTGAGGGGGGAGTGGTTTGGTGGAGAGGGGAGGGGGGAGTGGTTTGATGGAGAGGGAGGTGAGGGGGGAGTGGTTTGATGGAGGGTGAGGGGAGGGGGGAGTGGTTTGGTGGAGAGGGAGGGGAGGGGGAGTGGTTTGGTGGAGAGGGAGGGGAGGGGGGAGTGGTTTGGTGGAGGGTGAGGGGAGGGGGGAGTGGTTTGGTGGAGAGGGAGGGGAGGGGGAGTGGTTTGGTGGAGAGGGAGGGGGGGGGGGGTGGTTTGATGGAGGGTGAGGGGAGGGGGGAGTGGTTTGGTGGAGAGGGAGGGGAGGGGGAGTGGTTTGGTGGAGAGGGAGGGGAGGGGGGGGTGGTTTTGATGGAGGGTGAGGGGAGGGGGGAGTGGTTTGGTGGAGAGGGAGGGGAGGGGGGAGTGGTTTCCAGTTGGTGCTACGGCTAAGCTAACAACATCACTTACTGCTTCTTTAACTCTGTGGCTACTTCACTTAAAAATATTAAATGAATAAAAAGGCTAGATCCTGGCTCACATGCACTTGTTTAGGAAGTGTCGTGTTGGAGGCTTTGTGAATGGAAGAATAAACAGGACAGAGAAGACTACAGTATTTAATGGTTGGAGATATAACTATAATCAGTATGTAATTATAGATTTTACATTATGCCAAAAAACAAACTGGGCATTTTCGACGTAACAATCGTGTCCACTTTTGTTACGTCCAAAACGTCTGTCTTGGAGCGCTGTTAATAAAACGGGCGTGAATTAATCTGTGTTTTAGTAGAGCGCCCTCCACTGGACGAACAAGCTGAGGACAAAACAAGAGTGGGTCTGAGAACATTCAGCGATAACGGCCGCAGACATTTCGGGAGTTTTTCTGTCATTGACCAAAATGTAACACATTGATACAGTTTAGTGTGGAGTGAGCCGAATACTGTTATTACCATAGACTGTATATATTAACGGACAGAATCACGCCTATCTCCGCCGTTCATAGGAGTTGGCCGTGAAAAGTGCTTTCATGGAGCAATCCAAAATGGCCGCGAGTGGTCCCGCCCACAAGAAAATTGTGAAAAAACGCATCTGCGCATGCGTCAGCCGGCGCAGCTCCATTCATTTGAACGAGAGACGAGAGAAATTCACAGCAAGTAAACTAGAGTGTACCAAAAAAATTCACCCCCCTCAGCATTGACACACATGTGGAACGGAGCTTTGGGCCAAGAGACAACTTTTGGTCCATCCTGTAAAGACGTTTTTGAGAGGTCTGCTAACGCTATATGTTAGCATTGGCTAATTCTTCTTCTGGGTCCACCCCCATCGGCCCGGGGTGGTATTGCAGCATGTCAGCGCACGTCATTTTGGCCACTTTTGAGCTGGGATCCTCCCCCACTGGTTATTACACAAGGTTTTTCTCAAAGAAGAAGAAAGGGAAGTAGAAAACTTAAAAATATACTAGAATATTCAAGAAATAAGAAATAAGACAAAACAGCTTGTCCCATTGACAAATATTGTTTTAATACTGTGAAAACGTACTCAAAATTGGCACTTATCACCTTATATTTTATAATTGCTGCAGTGTGCATGTGGGGTAAAAGTTAGGTACCCCAGCTTTAAAGGATTTCACACACAAAAACCATAGAGATGTTGATATTTTAGTGTTTTTGTACATTTCTCTCGTGCAGATTTCGTCACGGGGGTTCCCAAAGGACTGCTGCTGTACGGTCTGGTAAGGAGTCGACTTCCTGAGACGTCGGGTTGTATTTATTTGCATAACACACGTTTTCTTGTGTCGTCAGGTTTCTATTTTAGACGGAAAGGATCTGACGTACCTGGTGAATCTAACCGGAGAGCAGGTTGGTACCACTGGATTTATACTCAACATGTATTTAGACATTAGAGTCACTGTCTGTGGACTTTAGCATCTCCTACATGTACGTCTGATCATACCATGTGTAAACTCTGGTCCATGATCATCTCCTACATGTACGTCTGATCATACCATGTGTAAACTCTGGTCCATGATCATCTCCTACATGTACGTCTGGTCATACCATGTGTAAACTCTGGTCCATGATCATCTCCTACATGTACGTCTGGTCTTACCATGTGTAAACTCTGGTCCATGATCATCTCCTACATGTACGTCTGGTCATACCATGTGTAAACTCTGGTCCATGATCATCTCCTACATGTACGTCTGATCATACCATGTGTAAACTCTGGTCCATGATCATCTCCTACATGTACGTCTGATCATACCATGTGTAAACTCTGGTCCATGATCATCTCCTACATGTACGTCTGGTCATACCATGTGTAAACTCTGGTCCATGATCATCTCCTACATGTACGTCTGGTCTTACCATGTGTAAACTCTGGTCCATGATCATCTCCTACATGTACGTCTGGTCATACCATGTGTAAACTCTGGTCCATGATCATCTCCTACATGTACGTCTGATCATACCATGTGTAAACTCTGGTCCATGATCATCTCCTACATGTACGTCTGATCATACCATGTGTAAACTCTGGTCCATGATCATCTCCTACATGTACGTCTGGTCATACCATGTGTAAACTCTGGTCCATGATCATCTCCTACATGTACGTCTGGTCTTACCATGTGTAAACTCTGGTCCATGATCATCTCCTACATGTACGTCTGGTCTTACCATGTGTAAACTCTGGTCCATGATCATCTCCTACATGTACGTCTGGTCTTACCATGTGTAAACTCTGGTCCATGATCATTTCCTACATGTACGTCTGATCATACCATGTGTAAACTCTGGTCCATGATCATCTCCTACATGTACGTCTGGTCATACCATGTGTAAACTCTGGTCCATGATCATTTCCTACATGTACGTCTGGTCTTACCATGTGTAATCTCTGGTCCATGGTAGGGATGTAAATCGGTGACCGTTTAACCGGTGGTTGACCGTCACAGCGTTAACCGGTCAAAGCTGTCGGTTAAAAACGAGAAAAGGGGGAGAGGGGAGGTCTCTTCATAACGCTATTTTAAGCCCTATTTGCACGATGTGACGAGCGGGTCCGTATCTAGCTGTGTGCGCCAATGTAACAGTAAACTCTGGGCCGACTCTCACGCCGTACGCGCCACATATGCACACACACATGTACACGCACACACACACACACACACACACACACACACACTTTCGATACGTAACATCCACACGCATCATCTCTCCCCTCTGTTAAGCCTAGTGTATACCGTCTGCTAGTTGCACACTGGTGCGGGTCAGAACTACATCGGGGCTTATATTTACACACACATACACACGCATACACACACACATACACACACACATACCGGTCTGTCGCGCTCCTCTGTGTCACGCAGCCAAAAGAATCCTCGCAAATACACGGCTCCAGTCAAACCACATGGACCATGTTTGTGCTGCTGGTCCTTGGCATCAGCTCCACACTGATCACTTTTAAACTTTAGCGGAGATCTGCGAGACGCGGCTCGTCACTCGCTGCTCTGACCATGTGGACGAGCTGTCTTTTGCTTAAAAATGCTTTAAGCCGCAGCACAGCAGAATGGGAAGATTAAAGCAGTTCTCTGTGCGCAAAGGTGCCGAAGCTGTTGCGGGTTTTGGCGCCGCTGTCTCAGCTCTGATCCAGTAGAACGTATAGCTGCACTTATGAGAAGTATGCGGCTTGAAATGGCTGTTATTTCAGAGAACTATTTTAAACTATGCCGTTAACCGGTTTCAAATGAGGCTCGGTGGTCGGTCATGAAAATTCATAGTTTTTTACATCCCTAGTCCATGGTCATTTCCTACATGTACGTCTGGTCTTACCATGTGTAAACTCTGGTCCATGATCATCTCCTACATGTACGTCTGGTCTTACCATGTGTAAACTCTGGTCCATGATCATCTCCTACATGTACGTCTGGTCTTACCATGTGTAACCTCTGGTCCATGATCATTTCCTACATGTACGTCTGGTCTTACCATGTGTAAACTCTAGTCCATGATCATTTCCTACATGTACGTCTGGTCTTACCATGTGTAAACTCTAGTCCATGATCATTTCCTACATGTACGTCTGATCTTACCATGTGTAAACTCTGGTCCATGATCATTTCCTACATGTACGTCTGGTCTTACCATGTGTAAACTCTGGTCCATGATCATCTCCTACATGTACGTCTGGTCTTACCATGTGTAAACTCTGGTCCATGATCATTTCCTACATGTACGTCTGGTCTTACCATGTGTAAACTCTGGTCCATGATCATTTCCTACATGTACGTCTGATCTTACCATGTGTAAACTCTGGTCCATGATCATCTCCTACATGTACGTCTGGTCTTACCATGTGTAATCTCTGATCTGATTGGTCAAGGCTTTATGGCTCATATCTGGATTTACAAAAACAATGTCAAAATAAAAACACCATCACTGAGGGCGTTAAAACACAGATATCTTAAGCCCAAAGTGGCGTGTGTGATATGAGCGAGTTGGAGAAAAACTTTGTCCATGAGCACTTCCCTATTGGGCTTTTGGTCGAGGGCCGAGCCAAAAAACAAATTGGAACTAGTCAGGGCCAATAGAATACATTGTAATGGTTTTTAACACTATGAAGGCACTGTCGTTACTTTTATTCGTCATGACATGTGTTATTACTCGAACTGAACCAAAACTGGACCAAATATGTTTAAAAAATATTGTTGAATATACTTCTAATGATGCGTTGGGTTAACACTTTATGATAAATTAAACGTGGTGGTTCCTCTGAGAAAACAGATGATGTATAACGTGCCATGGTCGTCCTTTACCATCAATGCTGTAAGTTCATATTGAAAATTAACAATAGTCTTTCAGGCCGGGTTTGGTCCACGGCCCTGAGTTTGTGACGCCTGAGCTAGCGGGTTAGCATTGTCCATCTGTATACAGTCCCAAACTTTAACTTCCATCTTTTATCTGTATGTGCTTTAGATGTATTGTATATTTTTAGTTTTGTTTTTGCTTCTTAACCGTCTCACAGCGTTGAGTCTAACAATCATCGGTTCGCCCTGTGCTGAATTCCTCTGTTTGAAACTGCGACCGTGCTGACAGCTTTTCCATGTTCCCTCTGCGTGGATTGTGTTTCAACATGTGGTACCCCTGCTTTAGACTCCCATGGTCCAATTGTGGCTGATGACGAACACTCTTAGACATATGTGTACATTTTCTGGACCAAATATGGCCTACAAAATACGCAGAATAGTCGAACCGAGATTCTGATCGTGCTTCTCTCAGTGTAAGCGCTTTGAAAAGACCCGGGGTTCTTAGGTATCGCAGCAGGAAGCAAACTCTGTCCTTCATCTCTCTTTGATTTATGAAGATTGAGTTGTTTTGAAGTCACGGGGCGACCAGAAAGCCACTCTTGTTTTTCACGATAGGTCCCCAGACTCCGAGCTTGTGTCAGAAAACGCTACAAATGACTTTGAAGTCGCAGGCAAGGGACGTAACTTGAGCCTAATTTACAAATCATGGCATGAAATCCAAACGGAAAACCTTTATAGAGAGTCATGAAGGAGTTTAAGCGTATATGTTTGGACCCCACGGACATTTGTACAAAGTCTCAACTCAAAGCTCCATGAAAAGAGATAGGAACTCTTGGGGATATTGGAAGAACGGTTGGAGGTTTCTATGTGATGAAGGAATATAAAAGGGGGAAAGTGTAGGGCTCCGTGGTGGGATTACTGGCTGACTGCATGTGTGTAATGCCTTCCAGATGGGCTCGTACTTCGGCTACGCAGTGGCAGTCACAGACATCAACAACGACGGGTGAGTGAGAGACGGACGGACGCAAGGCTTAGGGGGAGATAAGGGATGAGGGCTCTGAACCGAGAGGCCGGGCCAATGAAAACACAAGAGCATGAATGATGAGCTGCAGGAGGTCAGCGAGGAGACGGGGGAGATTCTCACACTAAAGTTAGACCCAAACCTGAAACTAATAATGATGTAAAAATCCCACTTTTCTTTCTCCACGGTTGTGCTTTTCACCCATTGAAAAAAGCAAGGCAAGGCAAGGCAAGTTTATTTATATAGCACAATTCATCCACAAGGCAATTCAAAGTGCTGAACAAAACAAGAAAGCATTAAAATCATAAATAATCACAGAACATTAAAAAGAAAGATACAAATATAAAATCCCTCAGTTGTAGCACAGCTAAACAGCACTGTCTTTAACCTGGTTTTAAACATTGTCAGAGAGGAGGCCTGTCTCACATCTCCAGGAAGACTGTTCCAGATTTTAGACTGTTCCAGATTTTGAAGCAATGTGAAAATTACTTTTTTTGCTTAGCTTTTGTGGGTTTTGGGTTTTATTCCACCTCCAGGCCTTCTCTGTGCGGAGTTTACATGTTTTTCCCATGTCTGTGTAGGGTTTCCTCCAGGTGCTCCGGGTTCCCCTATCACTAAAACATGTAAATAGATCTGACATGTGCCTCCTGTAGGTGACTCTGCTCCATCTCTGTGTGGAGTGAGAGACAAATGTCCACAACAAATGTAAAGCGCTTTGTGAGTCTGGTCTGTGTATATAAATAAATACTTACTTTCTTACTGATACCACAAATAAATATATATTTTATGGCTGAGATTCAGCTTGATGGTAAAATTGTCTCATACTTAGTCTGTTTTAGCAAATAAATAATCATTTAAAGAGATAGGATTGTCTACATCCGTTAATATTTACAGTCTATGGTTAAACCGGAAGGATGAGACGATGCCCAAATATGGGAGAGTTCCTCTAATCTTTCGGTCCCCGTGTTTGTCTCACCCGCTTGTGAACACAAACCATTGATTTGGATAGGGCGCCATCTTGGATCGCCGGGGCTTGCACGACACCCACACGGTCTCAGAACCCGGACTTGAAGAACTCAGGTCAAACCTCAAAGACTGAAATGTATAAACTTATAGTGGCGTGTGCTGTGTGGACAATGCTGCTCATTTCTATGATAGTCGAGTCTTTCACAAACATCTTACACAGAAAACAAACTGTGGATGGATTGGAAAGATCAAGGACAGAAATGTTGGATGGATTTACTTTTTTCTCCAAGTAACTAGTAATTTGTAACTAACCCTAACCGAACTCTGACACTGAGGCGTGTCCCTGTGTCCTCAGCCTGGACGATGTGGTGGTGGGGGCCCCTCTCTTCATGCTCCGGGCCCCTGCAGGACAGTTGGAGGAACTGGGCAAAGTCTACGTGTATCTTCAGAAAGGCCCTCAGCGTCTGGAGCCCAGTGGCACCAACCCCCTCGGCTCCCAGGCCTTCAGCCGCTTCGGGACCTCTCTGGCTCCGCTCGGGGACCTGAACCAGGACGGATTCAATGGTATGGCACCAACTATCATGTTCTGTCTGCACAAGTCTGATGCTTTTAAGCTTGGGCAACTTCCTTACTTCTAGTTGTCATAAATACAGTTCTTGTTGGACAGAAACTAGCTACTTTTTCTAGTTTTATCCAACCATGCGGCCTACATTAATAATAATAATACATCTTTATCTGTATTGCACTTTTCAAAAACAGTGTTCACAAAGAGCCGCACAATCTGCATAACGCAAACAAAAAACAGTCAATAAAACAGTCATCGTGTTTTTTAGATTTCAAAAGGAAACACAGGAGAATTAAGCAGACAGAGGCTCACAGTTCTGTCGGACACAAACACACAACACACCATCGTCGCACAATGACAACACAAGAATATGGTATCGCACAGTCCCATCAGTGCAAGGATACACAATAACACGGAAAAGATCACAGACGAAAACAGAATTTACACAATAAGCGAAAAAGTACATGCAACGACTAAAAAAGTGCTAGTGCGGCGCAGATTAAGAAGTACATGGCACTTGCACCGACAAAGTCTTAAAACCTTGTCATTGAAAACATGAAAACAACATATATGTGGACGTGTACTTTCTCTTCAAATGTAAAAATGTTTTCCTCTGACTTTAAAACCTGACGTAACGTGCACAGAATATACACAATTTTATACGTACTTCTTTATTATGCGAAAGTCATAGATTTATTCTTTTTTTTTTATGACTGAGATATTTATTGTGTTTTATCATGGGGGGGGAAGGGGAGGGGATCGGGGATAAAAAATAAAAAATAAAAATAAAAATACAATAATAATAATAATAATAATAAAAAAATAAAAAAAAAAAAAAATAAATAAATAATAAGATAACAAAGACCAAAGGAAAAATAAAATAAAAATAAAATAAAACTAAGATAAAAAGTAAAAAATAAACATATGTAAACCTATATACATACATACAGGTGACAATGAGAATACATACATATCACACTCGAAGATTTAGACATATATTCACTTAAAAAAAATAAATAAATAAATAGGTAGATTTATTCTTAATTTTTGAAGTGGTTTTATCGTCAAAAACAATTAATTTGACCCCATGAAATTTGGCCACAACAAAAAATCTCATTGGATACATTATTAAAGAACTATATTTTAGTTTTTGGCAGCAATAAAGTTAATTTGGCTCTAAATATATTCAGGCTTTTTATTTTGGAAGTGTAATTACTCCATGTGCATTTTTGGCCTTCAAAACTTCAAAACAAGTAACACATGTTTGTTCCTTAACATCTTTTCCCCAGATTTGGCAGTGGGCTGTCCCTACGGGGGAGAAGACCAGCAGGGACTAGTTTTTATCTATAATGGTCATGAAGAAGGTCTGGAGGACACGCCCACACAAACTCTCTCCGGCCAATGGGCATCCAGCGGATTCCCAGCTGCTTTCGGCTTTGCACTTCGAGGCAACACAGACCTGGATCAAAATGGCTACCCAGGTCAAATATCCGGCTATTCCCAACTTTATACTCACAGTTTTTACCTAACCGTGTGATTCCGTCTCTTGTGATGCAGATTTGTTGGTTGGTGCTTTTGGGGCGGACAGAGCGGTGCTTTACAGGTTGGTTTGTAGAGATTTGTTTCCTCGTTAAAAAGTTCTCGACTCTAACTTTGGTCTCTGCTCAGAGCTCGTCCCATCGTGAACGCCAATGCTACGCTAACGGTGCATCCGACCTTGTTTGTCCCGGAAGAGAAAGCTTGCGTCCTGACGACCGGAGACAAGATGGTTCCAGTGTCATGGTAACGCGTCACCTTTTAAACCCACAGAGTAAATCAGACAGAAATGGTTTTTAAAAGTATATTTGTTTAATTGTTTTTGACAAAGCTTTGTTCTTGAAGGCGGACAACATTAAGTTATAGACATTGGACTCCCTTGGTCCTAGATTCTTAATCTCAATGGGAGTTTCCTGGTAAAATAAAGGTTTAATTAAATAGGTTAAATAAAAAAGTGTTGTAAGATATCCGATGCTAAATGGTCTTTCATCAAATATTTGTATAATTTTCAACCTTTTTTCTCCATTTATTATTGTTACCGGCCCTGTTAAATTGGTAACAAGTACTGTTGGTCCTGGTTCTATCCAGGCCGAGCTGGTACCTAAGTGTTCTAACTGACAGTGATTGGCCAGAATACTGCTGGGAGCCATGGTTACCAAGGAATTTCACCGGATACTTGTTTGTTGTTTGTAGGTTGCTCGGATATGGTACCAGATATTAAAGTGAGTGGAGTTTATCAGAAAAAAAAGAGAGGTACATGATTTGAAAAAAAAGCCTGACCTAAGCTCCTCCCCCTTCCTTTCTGATTGGTCTTGAACCCGCGCCTACTTTTCCGTGCATGTGCCAGGCATAGACTTTAAATATTAACGTTCTAACTAATGTGCCACGACTCCCACGGTCTATGAGCAGTTTCAAAATGGCCGCGGGGGCTGGAAAATGTGAAAAAACACATCTGCGCATGCGTCAGCTTCACGAGCCCGTTCATTTAAACGAGTGTTTTGGACCATGGTCTCTCTCTGGTCCAAAACACCCCCCTCAGCATTGACACACGACACAGATGTCGAGTGCAATCCACTCAGCCACCGTGCCGCCCATAAAATAAAGCTTACTTACTTACTTACTTACATGTGGAACGGAGCTTTGGGCCAAGAACCAACTTTTGGACCATCCTGTAAAGACGTTTTCGAGAGTGTATGTTAGCATTGAATAATTCTTATTCCGGGTCCGGGCCCCTATTGGTGGTATTGCAGCGTGTCAGCGCACGTCATTTTGGCCACTTTTGAGCCGGGACCTGCCCACACTGGCGCCAGGTCAATGCGGAGGAGAGATTATTAAACTATTTTGTATTCATTACAAAAATTCAATCCATATCCATGCAGTGCATTGGGATAAACGTCCTTTTGTAGAAAAAGTAGCGCAGGTTTGTGCTGGTGTGTCATTTTATTTTAGATCGAGTTTTGGTGAAACAAGGAAGAGAATGTGTTTCGAGACCAGATTGTGACCAATCACAGCGGACCACTGGCCCCCACTATTTTTTTGTTTATTTATTTTTTATAGTTTATTTGAATAGGGACGATACACATTAATCAACATTGCTGTAAATGTGTCAGTATTAGCTAACAGCTAGTTTCCAACTGTAGTCCCTAGGCAAGGTGTAAAATGCCATCAAAGTGCACTGCGAAAAATTACAATTACATTACAATACAATACATGACAATATAGAGTAACTAGTTAAAACATTTCAATTTAAAACACGTCATTAAAACATATAAAAGCAAGTAATGCATCATGAGTGGTTACAATCTGGATTGTCCAATAACCATGTTTTTAGCGTATGTTTAAAAGTCCTGTGTGTGGTGCTATTTCTTATATGGACTGGGATTGTCCTCCTGTGGACTCACCACCTGCAGAGGGTCAGTGAGGGGCTGGTGCTATGAGACTTGGGTGGCATCTCTGACTGCCACCCCCCTGACCCAGAAATGGATTAAAGGGTAGAAAATGGATGGATGGACTGGGATTGTGTTCCAAAACTGAACGGCGCGCACTGAGAAAGCTGATTGGCCAAAGGAACTTTTTCTTAGTGGGACGAGAAGATTATTAGAGGCAGCAGATCTGGTGTTTCTGCTGCTCTGCTTAAAAAAATAGATAGTGGGGCCAGATCATTTAAGATTTTAAAAACCAGAAGACCATCTTGAAATCTTACCAGGTTTTCCCAGCTGAGCATCTTATATTTGGCCAAGATGCTGCAGTGGTGATGCCGGAAAGGTTTCCTATCCAGGACCTTTAACGCCTGTTTGTAGACAGACTGGATAGGCTTCAGGGCTGTCTTGCATCCCTGTGACCAGCTGGTAACACAGTAGGTAAGGCATTATCATCGAATTGAAAAATAAAATGGCAGATTCCTGGTTTAAGTTACTTCTGATGAATTTAAAATTTGCTAAATTTAACTTTACTATTCGGTTTACTTTCTTTACCTGTTTCTTGAAAGAAAAATGACAGTCTATGACAACACCCAGATATGTGTATTGTGTCACTACATTTATTGTGTTACCAGCAATACACACACTGGGGTTTGGTGAATTTTAATTTCTTTCTTGAGAAATCTACAGGTCTGTGGTTAGCACAGACAGCTGAGGTAAACAAGCGGAGGAGGCTAACCTGAAACTTGTGTCTTCGTCACCGGTTACTGCTTACTCGGCGAAACAGCCAAAAGAAAGTCTCGTTCCTCCGCGCTTCCCGGTTCTATCATTCTATGGTCACGCCATCCACGTGCAAAAGTTCCATATTCCATTTTGTGAGACGTTAGCTCCGTATAGTTAACAACGTGAACACACGCTGAGGGGGAGAGGGGGAGGGGAAAAGAAAGAGCGAGGCCAGTGAAACCGCTGCTTCGATATCCCAAAGTCAGTTAGTGCAGCTTTAATTTAAATATTCAAATATTTAATCATAATGTGTCATGCAGCTCCTCACAGCAGCAGTAGAATGCTGATTTGAATGTCATTTCAAAACGTTCTACCGTTCATTATTTCTTGACAACGGACTCTCAAACGAATAATGACTGCTGCCCTTTGGCAACGCACTCTGTGCTTGTAATTCAGAGCGGATAAAGACAAGAATTCTTATTATACCATATTTTTCCTTGATGTAAACGTCACAGATTTAGAGAGAACCTACAGTTACAGTGAGGTCCTGTTATGGCGTTTGTTGGCGTCCTGGTCGCCATGGAAACAAAGACAAAATAGGAAGCCTGAATTTGGAAAAGTTTTTTGTAGGACGTAGATTCTCAGTGAAAGGGCGGAAAGTGTTGGTGCCCTCCTGAGATGATGCAGGCTGTGGCTTTGCGGAGTCGTGACGCAGATGCTTCAGGGGAAAGTATGAACGTGCTCATGGGAGTTTCTTCAGCTGCAGGGCGTGTGTCTACAGGGGGCTCATAAGTTTTCATACCCTGACAGGGTTTGGGATTTCAAAGTCAACTGAGAGAATATGATAAAAACTAATATGAAGAGCAAAGATCCGAGTGTCCAGAGCTTAAGTTTACATATGTCTGTGGTTTCAGACTTGTCTGTGGTAGTTTTAGTTTCCAGGTTTGCTGTTGGACGCACTGATCAATAAAGCAGAGAGAGAGAAATGTAAATGCACCAGCAGCATTTATGAATTCATAAAGTTTATTTTAGTCTTTTTTACAATTATACACATCGTTACAGAACAGTCATTTCAGATTCAGTTTATTCACCATTTGCAGTAAAACCACATTGGAATACACCAGACACATGTAAATGTAATAAGGTTAGAGCAATAAAACAAACAAGAAACTGCAGGAGAAAATTGTAGAATTGTACTGTAGATTATATATAAAGTTAAATGGTCATGAGGCTAATACAGAGTTCAACCAAGTGTCTTCGTCAAGTGCAAATACAGAGTCTGCTCTCACAGAGTCTGCCCTGAGAGAGCGAGAGAGAGAGGGGAGAGCGAGAGGTGCGAGAGAGAGGGGAGAGCGAGAGGAGAGAGGGGAGAGCGAGAGAGAGAGGGGAGAGCGAGAGAGAGAGGGGAGAGCGAGAGAGAGAGGGGAGAGCGAGAGGAGCGAGGGGAGAGCGAGAGAGAGAGGGAGAGCGAGAGAGAGAGGGGAGAGCGAGAGAGAGAGGGGAGAGCGAGAGGAGCGAGGGGAGAGCGAGAGAGAGAGGGGAGAGCGAGAGAGAGAGGGGAGAGCGAGAGCAGCGAGGGGAGAGCGAGAGAGAGAGGGGAGAGCGAGAGAGAGAGGGGAGAGCGAGAGAGAGAGGGGAGAGCGAGAGAGAGAGGGGAGAGCGAGAGAGAGAGGGGAGAGCGAGAGGAGAGAGAGGAATCAGAGAAAGACCAGAGAAAGACCAGAGAGAGGCCAGAGAGAGGCCAGAGAAAGACAAAAGATAGACCAGAGAGAGACCAGTGAGAGAGACCAGAGAGAGACCAGAGAGAGACCAGAGAGAGACCAGAGAAAGACAAAAGATAGACAAAAGATAGACCAGGGAGAGACCAGTGAGAGAGACCAGAGAGAGACCAGAGAGAGACCAGAGAAAGACAAAAGATAGACAAAAGATAGACCAGGGAGAGACCAGTGAGAGAGACCAGAGAGAGACCAGAGAGAGACCAGAGAGAGACCAGAGAGAGACCAGAGAGAGAGACCCGAGAGAGACCAGAGAGAGACTAGAGAGAGACCAGAGAGAGACCAGAGAGAGACCAGAGAGAGAGACCAGAGAGAGACCAGAGAGAGACCAGAGAGAGACCAGAGAGAGACCCAAGAGAGACCAGAGAGAGACCAGAGAGAGACCAGAGAGAGACAGAGAGAGACAGAGAGAGACCAGTGAGAGACCAGTGAGAGACCAGAGAGAGACCAGAGAGAGACCAGAGAGAGACAGAGAGAGACAGAGAGAGACCAAAGAGAGACCAGAGAGAGACCAGAGAGAGACTAGAGAGAGACCAGAGAGAGACCAGAGAGAGACCAGAGAGAGACCAGAGAGAGACCCAAGAGAGACCAGAGAGAGACCAGAGAGAGACAGAGAGAGACAGAGAGAGACAGAGAGAGACCAGTGAGAGACCAGTGAGAGACCAGTGAGAGACCTGTCTGTGTTTGCAGCTTTAGAGTGAACCAACCATGGGCCAAGCTCTCACCAGCACAATATTCTAACAACTCCTGTCCTCTGTGACCCACAATGCACCAAAACAAAACTCCAGAAGCACAGCATAAGAAAACTTGTGTATATGTGTATGTGTACAGTATTTGTATATGTGTGTATGTGTATGTGTGTATGTGTATGTGTGTATGTGTATGCATCAAACTGAAATTCCCCATTGTGGGACGAATAAAGGACCTTCTTCTTAGAATTGGGTTTTTTTTGAACTGGGAAGTGAGAACCGCTGTTGTCTCCTTTGAATTGTAAGTTTATGGTAAAAAATTCAAGACTTGTTGATAATTCATTTAACAGTTTATAGAGTTATATATCAAATACTGCCCCGTTACTACCACCCCCATCCCCTTCATTCACCATTAACATCCAGTGTACTTTGCCTCCCAGGATATTAGTCTATAATGTGTTCCCTTACTACTTCATGCTGTGGTGTAATACATAAAAAGTCATACTACTCCTAAATACTTATTATTACAAAACATTAAAACAATTTGCATGTGCAGTCCTTTGCTTCCCGTCGTTCATGTGTCATTTTGTGGTTGCAGTGTTAGCGTCAGTTTCTGCCTCATGGCTAATGGGAAGCACCTCCCCTCTCGTCTAGGTGAGACACACACACAATCACTCACACACACACACACTCACACACACACACACACACACACATGGTCCCCATTACGCCGCTTTCTTTGTGCGGCCACAAGAATGCTGGACTCTGCTGCGGTCAATTTGGAGCCTCGGATCAAGATAAAAGAGCAATTGTGTAAATACTGAGCCATGTTCGGGCTGCAGTGGTCCACTTTAGTTGAATACGTGGCTCTCTGTGGTCCACTTTGTGTTTGTGTGTGCGACCAATTCACGTCAGAATCAAAATTATTCTTATTGTCAATAGGAATTTGCTTTGGCTCAAGCTGCAAACAAGTTGTAAGAGTAATAAAAATAGTTAAGGCATGCATCAAAAACATTTTACTGCATGATTTATATACTATACTTACTCATTACAAAGGCACTAATACAAAGTACACACAATTGACATTTAGCAGTGCACTTAAGTGGTAGTGGCAAAAAGTGACAGGTTGGTGGTCAGTCTCAGGTCTTTCTCTCTCTGGTTTCTCTCTCGTCTTTCTCTGGTCTCTCTCATGGTCTCCCTCTCTGGTCTGTCTCTGGTCTCTGGCCTTTCTCTGATCTGTCTCTGGTCTCTCTCTCTCTGATCTCTCTTTCTCCTCTCTCCGGTCTCTCTCTCTGGTCTCTCTCTGGCCTCTCTTATGGTCTCTCTCTGGTCTTTCTCTGGTCTCTCTCTCTGGTGTCTCTCTGGTCTTTCTCTGGTCTCTCTCTGGCCTCTCTTATGGTATCTCTCTGGTCTTTCTCTGGTCTCTCTCTGGCCTCTCTCTGGTCTCTCTCTGGTCTTTCTCTGGTCTCTCTCTCTGGTGTCTCTCTGGTCTTTCTCTGGTCTCTCTCTGGCCTCTCTTATGGTATCTCTCTGGTCTCTCTCTGGTCTCTCTCTGGTCTCTCTCTGGCCTCTCTCTGGTCTCTCTCTCTGGTGTCTCTCTGGTCTTTCTCTGGTCTCTCTCTGGCCTCTCTTATGGTCTCTCTCTGGTCTCTCTCTGGCCTTTCTGTGGTCTCTCTCTGGTCTCTCTCTCTGGTCTTTCTCTGGTATCTCTCTGATCTCTCTCTGTGTCCGTGTTCAGGATTTATTGTTGAAATCCAGTTGGACAACGTGAAGCTGAAGCAGAGGGAATCCAAGCCGAGGACTCTGTTTCTGGACAGTCGTCAGTCGAGCGTCGTGAGGAACTTCAGCCTCGAGACCAGTGGAGACATGTGCCACGAGACCAAGATCTTCCTCCTGGTCAGAATCATGCATTTGTGTTGATGATACAGAGAATATTTGGAATAATATTTGGATTTTCTAACAAAAGTCAAAAATATATGGATGTTGTAATGGACTAGGAGATGGCCAACAGTGGGACTTCACATCCATCCATCCATTTTCTTCCACTTTATCCTTTCTCGGTGGCGGTAGCAGTCTAAGCAGAGATGCCCAGACTTCTCGTTCCACACACACCTCCTCCAGCTCATCTGGGGGAATCCTGTGGGGTTCCCAGGCCAACTGAGAGACACAGTCCCTATGTGTCCTGGGTCTTCCCCTGGTCTCCTCCTGGTGGGACATGCGGCTCTACTCCGAGCTCTCCCAGTGTGACTAAACTCCTCCCCTTATCTCTAAGGGAGCAGCCGAGCCACTCTGCGGAGGAGACTCATGTGGAGCGTTTGTATCCGCGATCTCGGCCTTTCGGTCATTACCCAAACCTCATGACCAGAGGTGGGGGAGAGAATGTAGATTGCGCAATAAATTGAGAGCTTTGACCAGAGACACTGCTCCCTCTTCACCACAACAGTCCAACTGTCAATCTCCCTCACTCATGAACGAGACCAGAGATACTTGATCTCCTCCATTTGAGAAAATACCTCTGCACCTGGAGTCATTACAACCTGTTTCAATATTTGACACATTGAAGGAGTAAAGGATGCAATTTTAATGGAGAATCTAACATTTTGAAATATATGTTTAAAAGACAGAAAACTACTCAAGAAAGTTGTTTTTTATCTTTGACGGGTCGGGAAAAAAAATCCTTATTTAATTTTTTTTTTCCTATGAGAGTTATCTGAGGATTTGTCGAGGTAAAAGTTATGTAAGTCATGCAAGCTCAAAGAGGATATCAGAATAACACATACCGCCTTAAATGCTGAAATTATTTGTTTTGTGTTCAGGGGAAAACACCATTTGTAACGGTAAATTGTGGGTTGTTTTCCACACTTGTTTTGGACCAGGTGAACCCAATCTCCCAGTCGACCTGACAGGGGTCAGAGGCACTTCCTAACGGGGAACACCAGAGTCTCTTTGATGTCCTGATTGAGAGCATAGAACCAAGTCAGGAATGTGTGAGACATGTGTGTTCATGAACCCATCCTTTCATTTGTTGCAGAATGACGCAGACTTTCGAGACAAACTTTCCCCCATCTTCATCAGCCTGAACTTCAGCCTGGATCCTGAAGACCCCGAGGACCAGACCGGACTGAGACCCATCCTCAACCACCGCACGCAGCAGCTCATCCAGCAGCAGGTAAAGACTGATGAGGTCTATTTTTAGTTAGTTCAGTTCAGTTCGGTTCAGATGTGTTTTTCTGCTCAGAGCATAGACATAGATACATATATTTACTTTATTGATCCCAGTAGGAGAAATTTACTTATTCACTTAAAAAAACAAATAGATAAAAATCCTAATCTTAAAAGTGATGAGCTTCCTCTGGTTGATGTAGGCGGAGCCTGCTTGGTTCGGACTGTTTTTTCTGCTTTGGTTCAGAGTGAAATTCTGAATGCGTTATTAGCATTTACAGCAACAAATATTAGCATTCCCCCAGTGGTTTTATTTATGTGTGTGTGTTTATGTTTGTGTGTGTGTGTATTCTTATGTTTTTGTGTAGCAGAAGTGCACAAAATGTAATAATTTGGTGTAATAGATGAGAAGTAATGATAGAAATATTACACACGTTGGATGATCCGCGGTGCGGGCGGGGGTATGCACTCTCCGAGAGCACATTCACAGTTTTATTTTTATTTCTGGGATGCAACTTAGACAAGTATCTGTCATAGAACCAGGATGCACAACTATTCATTTTTAAAAACACAAAAACCATAAAAACGTTTGCTGAAATGTCTTCACTGTCACATGTTTTCTTTGTCGCTTCAACAGATTTTGTTTTTGTCATTTTGTTCTTTGAGAATGTTTTACAGAGAGTTAAAGGAGCAGTCTGTAAACATGTGTCCAAAAGTGGTACTGCAGCCTCTCCCACTCTCCCTGACTCAGGTTGCCAGATATGCAGACAAATCCAGCTGGGACCATAACAGCTAAATAGACAAGAGTTTTGTCAACAACAAATCTATAACCAACACCTTTTTCACAAAGATAGAAATCCTGGTTTTATTCCTTGTTTTGTCGTTAATGATTTGAGAATCATAACGAGACCTTTTTTAGTTCTGCGCCACATGGTACTTTACCAGTGAGATTAGCTCCATGCAGTCAGTTCTGGCGCCCGGATCACGGACTTTCTGATTGGTGAAACGGTGGAGGGCGGGACATCGAAATGAAAACAATAACAAGATTTAGAGGCTGGAAAAGTAATTTAGAAATTCAAATATCTCTGAACGACTGTTATCAGTTAAAGAAGTATTGGAAAAGAATATGTTTTATTAATGCCTTTTGACAGACTATGGCCCTTTAATGATGACAGATTAGGGCCCTTTAATGATGACAGATTAGGGCCCTTTAATGATGACAGATTTGTAATCAGAATCAGAATCCTTTTCATTTCATTTTAACAGGAAGTCTCGAACTAGGACATTTCTTTGGCTCTCGGTGCAAACAAGTTAAAGCAGAATAAAAACAAGGAGGCATAATTAAAAATCTACATACATTTCTTAAGGGCGCTTTAACCTGAAAATCTTAATTATTGCTACTTTAAGATCACTTTTGTCTTTCCTTTTTCTTCTTTAGAGTCGAGGACATGAAAACAATCCCCTCATTACGGCACAACAAGTCTCAATCTCGACCTCTTTGATCTTCTCCCAGACTCCTCCTTTTATTTCCCTCTGTATCAAAAACATGGCGTTCATCTGTAAACGGCTGAAGAGTGGCTTTACATTACATTACAGGAGACAGCAGGAGACAGCAGAGACAGCAGGAGACAGCAGGAGACAGCAGGAGACAGCAGAGAGAGCAGAGAGAGCAGGAGACAGCAGAGACAGCAGGAGACAGCAGAGACAGCAGGAGACAGCAGGAGACAGCAGAGAGAGCAGAGAGAGCAGGACACAGCAGAGACAGCAGGAGACAGCAGGAGACAGCAGGAGACAGCAGGAGACAGCAGGAGACAGCAGGAGACAGCAGAGAGAGCAGAGAGAGCAGGAGACAGCAGGAGACAGCAGAGAGAGCAGAGAGAGCAGGAGACAGCAGAGACAGCAGAGACAGCAGGAGACAGCAGGAGACAGCAGGAGACAGCAGAGAGAGCAGAGAGAGCAGGACACAGCAGAGACAGCAGGAGACAGCAGGAGACAGCAGGAGACAGCAGGAGACAGCAGAGACAGCAGGAGACAGCAGGAGACAGCAGGAGACAGCAGGAGACAGCAGAGACAGCAGGAGACAGCAGGAGACAGCAGGAGACAGCAGAGAGAGCAGAGAGAGCAGGAGACAGCAGAGACAGCAGGAGACAGCAGAGACAGCAGGAGACAGCAGGAGACCGCAGGAGACAGCAGGAGACAGCAGAGAGAGCAGAGAGAGCAGGAGACAGCAGAGACAGCAGGAGACAGCAGAGACAGCAGGAGACAGCAGGAGACCGCAGGAGACAGCAGAGACAGCAGGAGACAGCGGGAGACAGCAGGAGACAGCAGGAGACAGCAGGAGACAGCGGGAGACAGCAGGAGACAGCAGAGAGAGCAGAGAGAGCAGGAGACAGCAGAGACAGCAGGAGACAGCAGGAGACCGCAGGAGACAGCGGGAGACAGCGGGAGACAGCAGGAGACAGCAGAGAGAGCAGAGAGAGCAGGAGACAGCAGAGACAGCAGAGACAGCGGGAGACAGCAGGAGACAGCAGGAGACAGCGGGAGACAGCAGGAGACAGCAGAGAGAGCAGGAGACAGCAGGAGACAGCGGGAGACAGCGGGAGACAGCAGGAGACAGCAGGAGACAGCAGAGACAGCAGAGACAGCAGAGACAGCAGGAGACAGCAGAGACAGCAGGAGACAGCAGAGACAGCGGGAGACAGCGGGAGACAGCGGGAGACAGCGGGAGACAGCAGGAGACAGCAGGAGACAGCGGGAGACAGCAGGAGACAGCAGAGAGAGCAGGAGACAGCAGGAGACAGCAGGAGACAGCAGAGACAGCAGAGACAGCAGAGACAGCAGGAGACAGCAGGAGACAGCAGAGACAGCAGAGACAGCAGAGACAGCAGGAGACAGCAGAGACAGCAGGAGACAGCAGAGACAGCAGGAGACAGCAGGAGACAGCGGGAGACAGCGGGAGACAGCGGGAGACAGCAGGAGACAGCAGAGAGAGCAGGAGACAGCAGGAGACAGCAGGAGACAGCAGAGAGAGCAGGAGACAGCAGGAGACAGCAGAGAGAGCAGGAGACAGCAGGAGACCGCAGGAGACAGCAGGAGACAGCAGAGACAGCAGAGACAGCAGAGACAGCAGGAGACAGCAGGAGACAGCAGAGACAGCAGGAGACAGCAGGAGACAGCAGGAGACCGCAGGAGACAGCAGGAGACAGCAGAGACAGCAGAGACAGCAGAGACAGCAGGAGACAGCAGGAGACAGCAGAGACAGCAGGAGACAGCAGGAGACAGCAGGAGACAGCAGGAGACCGCAGGAGACCGCAGGAGACAGCAGGAGACAGCAGGAGACAGCAGAGAGAGCAGGAGACAGCAGGAGACAGCAGAGACAGCAGGAGACAGCAGGAGACAGCAGGAGACAGCGGGAGACAGCAGAGACAGCAGAGACAGCAGGAGACAGCAGAGACAGCGGGAGACAGCGGGAGACAGCAGGAGACAGCGGGAGACAGCAGGAGACAGCAGAGAGAGCAGGAGACAGCAGGAGACAGCAGGAGACAGCAGAGAGAGCAGGAGACAGCAGGAGACAGCAGAGAGAGCAGGAGACAGCAGGAGACCGCAGGAGACAGCAGGAGACAGCAGAGACAGCAGAGACAGCAGAGACAGCAGGAGACAGCAGGAGACAGCAGAGACAGCAGGAGACAGCAGGAGACAGCAGGAGACAGCAGGAGACAGCAGGAGACAGCAGAGAGAGCAGGAGACAGCAGGAGACAGCAGAGACAGCAGGAGACAGCAGAGACAGCAGGAGACAGCAGGAGACAGCGGGAGACAGCAGGAGACAGCAGGAGACAGCAGGAGACAGCAGGAGACAGCAGAGACAGCAGGAGACAGCAGCAGAGACAGCAGAGACAGCAGGAGACAGCAGGAGACAGCAGCAGAGACAGCAGAGACAGCAGGAGACAGCAGGAGACAGCAGGAGACAGCGGGAGACAGCAGGAGACAGCAGGAGACAGCAGAGACAGCAGGAGACAGCAGGAGACAGCGGGAGACAGCAGGAGACAGCAGGAGACAGCAGGAGACAGCAGAGACAGCAGGAGACAGCAGCAGAGACAGCAGAGACAGCAGGAGACAGCAGGAGACAGCAGCAGAGACAGCAGAGACAGCAGGAGACAGCAGGAGACAGCAGGAGACAGCGGGAGACAGCAGGAGACAGCAGAAGACAGACATCAGGAGACAGCAGGAGACAGCAGAGACAGCAGGAGACAGCAGCAGAGACAGCAGAGACAGCAGGAGACAGCAGGAGACAGCAGCAGAGACAGCAGAGACAGCAGGAGACAGCAGGAGACAGCAGGAGAGACAGCAGGAGACAGCGGGAGACAGCAGGAGACAGCAGAAGACAGACATCAGGAGACAGCAGGAGACAGCAGAGACAGCAGGAGACAGCAGTAGACCGCAGAGACACCAGAGACAGCAGGAGACAGCAGAGAGAGCAGGAGACAGCAGGAGACAGCAGGAGACAGCAGAGAGAGCAGAGACAGCAGAAGAGACAGCATGAGACAGCAGGAGACAGCAGAGACAGCAGGATACAGCAGGAGACAGCAGAGAGAGCAGAGACAGCAGAAGAGACAGCAGGAGACAGCAGGAGACAGCAGGAGACAGCAGGAGACAGCAGAGACAGCCGGAGACAGCAGAGACAGCAGGAGACAGCAGGAGACAGCAGAGACAGCCGGAGACAGCAGAGACAGCAGGAGACAGCAGCAGAGACAGCAGGAGACAGCGGGAGACAGCGGGAGACAGCAGAGACAGCCGGAGACAGCAGAGACAGCAGGAGACAGCAGCAGAGACAGCAGGAGACAGCGGGAGACAGCGGGAGACAGCAGAGACAGTGGGAGACAGCAGGAGACAGCAGGAGACCGCAGGAGACCGCAGAGACGGCAGGAGACAGCAGAGACAGCAGGAGACAGCAGGAGACAGCAGGAGACAGCAGGAGACAGCAGAGACAGATGGAGGACTTTTTACCAT